TACCCCTTGGTGCCAGATGCGCTGTACTCGTAGCCGCTCTCAGGGTTCAACGACCACACGTACCCGCCAGCATACCCCGGCTGGGAAGCCACCATTTTGATGACGTTTTGCGTCACGCGCTGGTTGGTTTTGTTCACGTGGGTGTCTTGGGTGAACAGCCCGCCAAACTCGCCCAGTACCAACGCTCCATCTTGCGTGGACCGGAGGTACCCAAACATGTCTTCGGACGAGTCGGCTACGATTTGCTCCAGCGTCGCATCGTCCCATTCCCTGTAGCCAGTCAAGATATCTCCCTCGCGCTTTCCGCCTTGCACGAGGTAGGCTTGAGGGTACACTGACGGCGAGTAGTAGTGCGGCGCGTACACAACCTTGTGGGCGGTGTTCAAAGTCAATGGGTCGGTTCCTATGTATTGGAAGGTGTCAGTTACACATGAAACGATACCAAACAGACGTTAACGGTGTCGTACCCACATCGCGCAACCCGCCGCCCCACCAGTCAAAGAACCAACTCTTCTGGCCAGTATACGTGCCGTTTTGTTTCAACGCGTTGCCTTCGATGAACGCCAACCATTGCGGGCACTTGACCAGCATTCGATGGGCCATCGTGGCGGCTCCAACCCGAAAGTCCTTGGGTCCATTGTCTCCCCAAGTGATGTTGAACGGCTCGTTTTTCAAGTCGATGCCAATGATGTTCCAGTACTTGTCGTTGCAGAACGAAGTCGTGAGCACGTCCACCGCATTCAGCACGTCGGCTTCTGTAGTCATGTTGCCAAACCAAGCGTCGCCCTTGGTGTAAATGTCCAGGTTGTGGATGTCCAGTAGCACGGAAATGCTGCGGTAGCCCAGCGCTTCCACCACCCCACCGATAGTGCTCGTGTAGTTGGTCAGGTCCAGCGCAGCGTTGGCATATTCGTGGATGAGACCTCTGTTAGGAGCTGTGTTGTTCAAGATGGACGATACTGTAAGTGGTAGCCGGACGCTGTTGAACTGGTTGCGGCTTAGGAACGACGCGAGCTCGAACAAGGTTGTGCCGTTCTGGTCGTTGGTCCACAAGCCAAATGGAATGGCATTCTCCGTCTCCATACCAAACCAGTTGATCCCTTTGATCGCAATCGGAATCTCTTGGTTGGTGTTGGTGACAATGTAAATTTTCCCCTTCTTTGAGATGTAGTTGGGGAGGTAGCACCCTTGGCCATCGTACGTCAATGGGTTTGTCTCTTCGTCTTTAGAGCGAGTACTGCCGTCTTGAATCTTGCCAAAGCTAAACACTTGACGCGTCGGAGCTGGAGTTGGCGCTGCTGTCGTAGTCGTCGTGGGTGTTGATGTAGCAGTAGCGCTGGTTGCTCACGACTGGGTAGCTTGCCAAATGCCAATGGACGCACCGACGACTACCACCAGGCCTAGGCCCAGGAACAATAGCTTGCGACCGGCAGGCTAAATGGTGAAAAACAGATGTGTGACGAACCTAAAGGGGAGTAGCGAGCTCACCTTGGCAGTGGTAACAACAGAAGCTTCGTAGTCGCCGCTGGCTGAAGGGTACACCATTTCGATGTCTTGGTTGATGTGGACAACAGCGAATTTCGTGGACTGTCATCTCCCTTGTCAACCGAGTGGACCAAATTTCTCGTGAACAGATCGTTGTCTGGCTGTGCACACAACGGCAAAAGTGTAACTTCAACCTTCGACCTCAGGAGTTATTTTGACGCATTATATTGCTCGACGAACTATTTCAAAATAGTTTGAAATTGGGATGGAATATGGTCAAATTATAGGGATAGTTTTGGATGATTATTTGAACTGTTGTCAATGAAACGTAATTTGAGTGGAAACGTACATTACGTTAAAGTACTCGTTTTACTCGAGAGTTTAAGCGCGTCCACGGCCCTTTAAGCAACAAAAATCGGCCGATATACTTCAAGTGAACATTCATCACTTCATTCTCCAAATGCTCCATGTATTGACATTGACATTGGGATCAACAAACTTGCAGACTACACGACTACGGTGGCCGTTATGCAGCCTGGCGATAGTTAGCTTCAGCACTCGCTCGTACAACAGGGCTACGTTCAGTTCGGTCGGCTACCGTACCAATGAATTCCAGCATTGCCTATGGCTTCTGGTCGGGGAAGCTATCGGTAAAATCTTCTTAGATTGATACAGTGAACGTACCCACCCTCTATGAACTGTACAACTAACTCACGTTTTTGCTGATTCACGGTCAACGAGAAAGAGTTGACAGCAGCTTATTGTGACACCAACACTTGAGAGTAGGTTTTACTTTACCCTATTTAACGCAAACGGTTCAAACAAATATTGGTGGCTGTAACTCACATCGAATATGCTGGCACTTCAAATTTTCACCGTCAGCATACGCAGGCGACACCCAGATGCTATGAGGATGGTGGTGGTGGTTGTGATCATTGATTGCGATGAATATGTGCAGGGTGTCCTTAAATAGACTTAAGACGTGCTGGCGCTACTCGGCTGGCGTACTTCTGACGCAGCCGTCGAACTGCCTTCGTCAGTCCAGGAGCTGCTAGCGCGACTAGGGAGACATTCAAATCGCCACTCGATATCGTCCGCTTGCTTGAAGTGGACTTGCATATCCCGATAGAACGCGGTGAGGTCGCCGTCCGACGCCGCGTTCTCGCTCTCCATGGAAGACGCAAATGCATGTTCGATGATCGTTGGGGAGTGCACTAGCCTCCGGTGTACCAATGCAGTTGCCATGATCGCGTTCGCGTGTTGGAACTGCATTCGGAATGCACAAATGTCATCCACCACATCTTCGTCGGAGGTGGGCTGCGTGAGATGCCGCGCAAGCGCCGCGTGGGCGTCGTCGATGGCATGCGTGATGATGCGCAGAATTTCGTCAATGGCGGCGGCGGTCGACGACGTCGACGTCGGCGAAGCAGGGGACGGGATGCGAATGCGAGGCTGTGCCGTGAACATGGGCGAGAACGTCATGATCCCATGGCTAGTGGTGTCTACCATGGCTTTGAGTGCTGGCTGGCTGGCTGGCTTGGTGGGGTGGGCTGCTCGACGATGCTAGCAGAACCGATACGTTCAGTGTGCTTTTATTCCGATTCTCAATTCGTATACAAAGTTCAAGTGAAATATTTTTTAAAATAGCCCCATGCTATTTTTGGTTTCTCCAGCACGCCATCTTCCTTGGCGGTATCCGACAGCCGCCGCGTCTTCATGAGGAGGTCGTTCCATTGCACGTACACCCCGACTGGATAAGGAAGAAACTTAACATGAACTTAAGTCTATCCCACGCATGTGGATATCTATCTATCTTAACTCTCTACTGCTCGGCCTTGCGATGATGATGGTGGTGGAGGGTGGTTGAAGTCTCCGGCGGCTTTCGGATGTGGTCTTGCATGAGGTACGGTCGCAAGACAGCGGGTACGCGCACCGACCCATCCGCTTCCTGGTACGTTTCCAGGATGCTAATGAGGATGCGCGGCACCGCGAGCGCAGTCCCGTTCAAAGTCGCGACGAACTGGGGCTTCTTGTCGTCGGCTTTATGGCGGATATTCAGTCGCCGCGCTTGGTAGTCGGTGCAGTTGGATAGACTCGATACCTCGTTGTAGCTCTGACGCCCCGGCATCCACGCCAAGATATCCCATTTTCGATACGCCGGCGCGCCCAAATCCTCGGTCGCCATGTCCACGACCTAATAATGTCCATCAGGGTTTTGTAAATATTTTCGAAAGCAGAGTGGGGGGCTATGAGAAGCATCGACCAATCAAAACACAGATCACGAATCAAGTAGCCAATCAAATCCACTCTTCGACCAATTCAACATTGAATTCGTTTACAGTGTCATACAAAAGTGTGTAGACAAAAGAATCGATCGATCGATTTGGCGAAAATCAGCACAAAAGTCCAGACTTTGGGTAAAAGGACAATATATATATATATATATATATATATCTACCTGGCAATGCAACCCCAGCTCCGACACGATTTCCACTTGTACGGCCAAGAGGTCGTCCATTAAGGTTTCAGCTTCGTCCATCGTACCTATTCCGAGATGTCATCAAATTTTTTGTTTGAAATATATATATCTGTACGTACAGTAGGCAAACATTTCAACTTTGCTGAATTGATGGATGCGATACAGGCCCTTGGTTTCCTTGCCTCCATGACCCACTTCCGTGCGGAAGCAATGGCCAAATGCCGCGATTCGCTTGGGTAGGTCCTTGGTCGAGTGAAGTACCGAGTCACTGAACATGGCGGCTAAGGGAATTTCTGAAGTGCCCACCAAGCACAAGTCCGTGTTAGCAATCGAATACACTTGGGTAGCGTCCCCCCGGGGTTGAAATCCTAGATATTATACCGACGTTGTATGAGGACTTCAAGATGGAAGTGATATACTTTTGAAGATGGAAGTGATACTTTTTTAGATTAAAGTGATACTATTTTAGATTGAAAAGATACTTTTTTCAGATTGAAGTGATACTTTTTTTAGCTTGAAGTGATACTTTTTTTAGATTGAAGTGATGGGTAGAACAAACATGTGACGACGTTCATGCTCGTTTGGCGCAGTGTATATAAATGCATAAAATGCATTGTGTAGTATTGTTGATTTGATACAAATTTGGGGAGGGGGTGCAATCGAATCGCGCCAAATCCTTATGATGATGCAAGAAAAGTTTTTGAACCAAACCAATCCACAATCGATCTGATTGGTTGAATTTCATTGAGAAGGTTTTGATTAGCTAATAATTTTGAGCTCATCTGAAGTAACCAATCAAATCGATTTAAATTCCAACGAGAAGCCACGCCACAACACGAAATTTCACTTGAAAGCCCAATAAGTAGATATATTGCCGTACCGCAACCTTCGACCATGGCGGAATGTGCGACATCGGGGGGTAAATGCACGGAAAAGCCCTTGGAACGAAGCTTGGCCATGGTCCAGTGCACCAGTGCCAGTTCCAGCAATGCCCCTAGGGCGTGTTTGAAACACGTTTGAAACATGCTTGAAACGTCCTCAACGTACCTTCGTTCTTCAACGTGGCAAATCTGGCGCCAGCGATCTTGGTGTTCATTTCGAGAATGTCCAAGTGCGTGGCGAGGTCGAAATGGTCCTTGGGCTCGAAATCAAATGTGGGCTTGGTGCCGATGGTGCGCAGGACGACAGAGTTCTCTTCGGGACCGACGGGGCTGCGGGGATGCGTGTGGTTCGGAATCAGCAATGCCTCTCGCTCCTGAACATACATACATGCACATGTGAGATGTGGACGAAGGTGGAGAATGGATTGATCGTACCAGGTCATGGGTCAGGGTTTCGAGCTTGGCCTCCAGCGTCGACAGCTCAACCTTCAACGCCCGCCCGAGCTCCTTGTCCCCGCTCTGCTTGGACATGATATTGCGTTCTTGCCGTAGGCGATACACGTGGTTCGTCGCACTCCCTGTCGTTCCCCCAACGGTCATACACAGCATGTGACTGGAGGACGGTACCGAGTTCGGCGTAAAGCGACGCGACTCGCAACGGGTCGCCGCCACTCTTGCGCACGGCAACGTTCTGGATTGCATCGTCCACGTTGGCACTCAATGCCTTGAAGTCCAGTCGGGACTTGATGGGCGTCGAGAACGACCGCCGACACATCCGAGACATCACCATCATCATGCCCCACCAAAATGGAGGAATGGCGCTCGTGAATCAATTTAATTGCCCATGCAAACTTCCTTTATCCGGATAGTCCGGATAATCCGGCGATGTACAGAAACATGCATTGCGATGGCCAATTTATGGACAAGCTTAAAAATATATTTGTGCTATCATCTATTCCAAAACTCAAGCAATTCCATTGGCCAATTTGAGTGCACCTTTAGCCATCTACGCTAGCTTGCCTTGCGAGGCGAAGGCGGGAAGACATCGCCAAGGGGTTCTTGGTGTGCATTAAGGACGATGGTCATAGGCTTGGTTGCGGGGTCGCAATCCATTCATGAAGGGTACTGTATACGTATAGGGGAATGTTTCCGGATAGCTGATATCCGGAAGATTGGTTTCGAGGGTTCGTCACATTCAAATTTGCGCGCGCGCAACAAAGGGGAGCGAGCGACCATGGCCGACGACAAGGAAAAGGCGAAGGCATACAAGAAGCAATACTACCAAGCTAACCGAGAGAAGGAATTGCAACGAAATAAGCAATGGCGCGAAGCTAACAAGGACAAGAGCAAGCAATACTACCAAGCTAACCGAGAGAACGTGAAGGCACAGCAAAAGCAATACTACCAAGCTAACCGAGAGAAGATGAAGGCACAGCAAAAGAAATACTACCAAGCTAACCGAGAGAAGCAATTGCAACGAATGAAGCAATGGCGCGAAGCCAACTGGGAGAAGGAGAAGGCACAAGACAGGAAACGGCGTGCGCAGAAAAGGGAGTATGAGCGCTTGGCCCAGCAGGGGTTTACGCACACTCAGAAAGCTCCGCTTGAACAGAGTTTGAATCCTGCCACAAACAAGGACAAGGCGGTCTCAAGCAGAGACGACGAAACGACCGCGAGGGCATCCCGCGCAGCGTCGCGCCACCGCAAGCTCCAGGCAGATCCGTCACATGACCAAAACACGAAGGTGGACGCGTCACCACCTCCTCCGCAAGGACCTGATACGGACGTGACCCCTTGCACCGTTGTGTATCTCGACCCCGTCGTGTTTTCACTCAAAGTCTACAAAAAGTCATTTGGCCAACAACCCACCCGCGTCGAATTCAGCTTGATCCCCCAAGAATACAGTTTTCTCGGTGCGGAACAAGGGTGTCGCTCGTGCCCAAGCCAACCATCTATCGTGTCGTCGGGCAAGTACCCTCCAACGGCGATGCATGAAGGCCATCAAGGACCACGTATTTGTGCTTTGTGTCACGAGCTCATGTTCCTCCGTCATTGCGGTCATCTGTGGAAAAATCAAGGTTCGGCAACGACGTCGTGCGCGCCCCCTCTTGCCGTACCTCGCGTCGTTGAAGAATACGTCGTGTAGATGTCTTGCCTGCCCTTCATTTTCGACTTCCAAGGTCCCTAATTCACATGCATTCTATGCGTACTTGTCTATCGTCCTTGATGTATGAGTGTTGATGGTTAGCATTCCGCAGGTCACGTTTATATGGATGTGGATACCACAGAGTCGAGAATGCCATTGGCATGATCTTCTCATCTAATGTCATCATATATAACGTTATGCAAAGTATGTATTATACAGCTCGTTATACGTGACGTCTACATTCCCGCAGGTGCTTCTGTCTTGGGAGGTTCTGCATTGGACGACCCCTTGGGCACCGGCAGGAAGAGCTTGAACTCGGGCGGCAGCTCTTCCTCCGAGTAGAGGCGGTCCGAGAAGTAGATGCGACGGATGCGGCAGTTCGCGTGGATTTGTACGCGCAGTGTCTCGATGTAGTTGGTGCCGTACGCACGGCGTGTGAAGTCGCTCAGGTTGAACTGGATCTGGTTCCATCCTTCATCGAGTCGCATGGGCATGGTGCAGATGAATGGCTTCACGCGGGTGCTGCTTTGATAGTTAGACGCGCGGAATCGTCGACGGACGTTCTTGTCGTCGAGCACCTGGACTTCGAACGTAAAGTACTTTTTCAAGTTCTTGATGATCATGACCAGGAACGGCAGCTTGATCCCGAGCGTTTTGGCCGGCTGCGCGGGACACGCGATGAAGTTCGTACTCACGTTCGTGCCCATGATCTCTAACACCGAGCTTTGGATGTCCTGGTCCGTGATCCGCTTGATGTGTCCATTCCGCACTTGCTTGTCCCAAATCTGCAGCGGTTTGCTCCTACATCTCCATCATCATCACCAAGCCACTTCATGGAGGACGACGTACCCAATGCTGTAGAGGATCGAGAGAAACCCCGATTGGAATGTGTTCTTGAACATGCCGCTCCTCCTCCTCCTTCTTGTCGCCGACCTGCTGCTGCTGCCGCTACCAAGACCCAAACTCGCAATGGCAAAACGCCACCCCTTCGCAACCGATCCGGCGGTTTTCATGTCCGGATACTATGGGATTTCCGGATACCACGTTGTGAAAGGTCGCACTTTTCGATGGATTAACTTAACGTCCACCAAATTATGTATTTCCCGCGTTTAGCAGGATACCAGTATACTAGTAGTACTAGTATATGGTAATACTTCAAAGGCATTAAAGTGCATGTTGTAATGTACTAGTAGTACATACTAGTAGTGACGACAGCGTATGTGAGCATGTGAAGAGCATATATTTGAGAAACCATCCCACATATATTCACGTGTCATCAAGTGATAACGCAGAGCATCGTGATGCCAAGGATTATGAACGGTTGTTCGATTATTGTTCTCCCAGTCCTCCAGTAAGGACAAGTAGTAGTGGAGGGCTACGTACATACTAGTACTCTGGAGTACCTGGTATGTACTGTACGTAGACTTTATTGAGTGATTATTAACTACTGGTAAGTTATTAACAAAGTTAATCCAGGATCGATATCTTCAGAGTTTGAGTGTGTGGTGATTGTGAAATTAGTATTCTCATCGGATTGGATATAAATAATTTAATTTCAGCCTATCGAAAGTCGTGTACGATTCCGCCATGCTATTGGTGCATTCGTCATTCCGGTCGATCGACCATCATGGAGAAGTCGTTGAAGGACATGAACGAAGCGCTGGCGAGTGTGTTGGCGCTGGTAGTCGCCCCCGTGGAGTACCCACCGCCCAGTCGTCCGAATCCTCTGCAGCAGGACGCGACGGACTTGAATGATCTGCAGGAACAAATGGAAGCGTTCTTTGTCCAGGCCAAGAAGTTGGAGACGCAAATCCTGTCGCAAGACGTCGATCATACTGGGGAGAACCGCGTTCAAGTGGAAGCCGAGATCCAAGCGCTAGAGCATGAGCTCAACGACAAGAACGACCTCATCGACAAGTACTCGGAAGTGATTCGCGGGTGGGAAGGCAAATTCAAGCGACTCGACTCGAAAATGTCCGTCTCCTAAGCATCATCCATCCATCTACCTAATAAGCCACGTATGAACAACACCCGAATACGCATGCATCCTACGGTGGCAACGTTCTGCATCCCAGTCGTTCCATCTACTTACTCGCGGCACATTCAGCTCACAAGGATCCCGCAAAGTACTCATAGGCCATGGCTTCCTGTTAACAACTCTTTAAAACTCTCATGCACACAAATGCTCCCGTCTTTTAGGGTGTACGTATGTATCCTCTGTGACAGTGTACAACTATACTTCGTCACAGTTATTCTGTCAACAAACACCTTTGGGAACACAGTTGCAACACTGCTCTAGTATGTATGTATGTATATACACAGCATTATCGAGCTAGGGTGATCGTCGTGTTTACTGTTCCCAGATGGACTTCCATGCGTCCAAGAGATGAGCAACTTGGTCGGGATTGCGCACCGCCAGGCGAATGAAAGTCGGGAGTTTGTATCCTGGTTCACCGTGGCGGATGGGCACGCCATGCTGCTTGGCGAGGGCGGTCGCTTGGAGCGCCGTGGCTTCGTTCTTGGTGTTTACCCACACCCACGACAAGTACCTACGTCCAAACATTTGTCACTACCTACTAGTCAAGTCACTAGGAATACTACTACGAGCACGTACGGCTGGCCATGTACTTCCCACGATGGAAAGCGGCGGTTGAGTTGAGTCAGCAAGTTCGCGCGCCACAGAGGCGTCACGCGCCACGTCTCTTCCAAGTACGCCTCATCCTTGACCACCGCAGACAAGAACACCAGCGCCATCGAGTTGAGCGACCACGGCACCTGCTTGCGCTTGATGTTGGCGGCGTGCTGGGCAGTGGGCGCCACCACGCTGCCGATGCGAAGACCAGTGCACGACCTAACGAACCCATCCCATCGTTGTTGGCCGAATGTATGTAGTAAGAATGCGCCGAAAAAGTACAGAGCCAATCAGATTGCAGGAAATCATCAGTTCAACCCATCAACGACCAATCAATGGGTGACTTCAACATTCGAGTGATGGGCATCATCACCAAGTTATGTTTGTATACATATAAAATATATTGTGGATTCGATACGAATTTCCAGACCCCGTCTATTGGCTAATCCAATCTTTGAGTGGATTTGATTGGCTCTTACAGAAATGACAAGTATATTCAACCAATCAGAAATCCGGTGTGATTCAATATTGATTAACCAAACCAGGCGAATTTTGCAAGTTTATAGCGAATTCACAATATATTCAGTACAAAAAATCGATGATGATCGATGGAGTGGGCAAATCAGCACAAAAGTCCAAAGTTTGGCTGAATGGACAATAACACAGCTAGTGCCGGTGTTCGACAGCTCAAAACAATGTACGGCTGAGCACTGAGCCAATCAGGTTGAAGAACCGCATCAATACATGGAATTGGTGTATGACGAGAAATAGTGTGGATGCTTGATACATGTGCATCCTGGGATGTTCGTGTTGTGTTTATTCTCATTAACTGTATACTGGAGAATGAATCGACACTACCAAATGTACACAACACTCGGCAGAAGGATTGATTGAGCCAATCAGATGTATTGCAGGAAACTGTGTGACTTCAATTAGTGTGATGGGGCGAAGACACCCCTATTTAAAATACTAAAGGCAGTATAATATTAATACAAAGAAAATATCGATAAAGGAGTCCAAACATTTTGGGTAATCAAAGGCCAATCCAAATTCAGGTCAAATCGATCGACAGGTCTGAAGACAATCACAAGAGTTCAATGTATTGATTTGGCTTGAAAGGATAGTACCAGATTTTGGTCCAGCTGGTCATGACCCACACGTCCAACTTGCGCGTTTCGCTAAGATGTCGCACCCAGTCGCGCTCTTGGATGAGCGAATCCGAACGCCAGTGCGGCCCCACCCATGGCTGCATGCTTTCGTCTACACATGTTTGATTCACATTTGTAGGTGGAATATTCACAATTGGAGGTCATGACGTACCAACGATGACGGTGTGGTTGTCGGGGCACGTTTCAATGTACGCTTTGATTTGGGCGAGCGAGTAGTAGTCGCCCGTGGGGTTGTTCGGGTTCACGAGGCACGTCAACTTGGCGGACGCGTCCGTGGATGCCAGCATGGCGCGGTCGTCGGCGGCGGCCGAGCGCTCATACTCCTTGTACTGGGTCGTGTTGGGTCCCACGCGCATGCCACCGGCGGGGACGCTGCGGATGACGAGGTCGATGAGTTCCGACGCGCCGTTGCCGAGCAAGAGGAGCGGCATGTTGGCCAGTTCGGTGTCTTTAGGCCACAAGAATGACGAGAGGTGGCTCAACGCCGGTTGAAAGTCGGCCGGCGGGTAGTGGTGGATCGTGTGGACCGCGTCCGTCGCCGCTTGAAGCGCCGACGCCGGCGTGCCCAGGCCGTTCGTGGTGACGCTAAAATCCTCGACAAAGTTGTTCAGGAACTTCCAATCCTGGCCCCCATGGAAGGTCTGGGTGTGCTCATCCCACACGGTGGACTTGTTGGCAGCGGCGGAAGGGTCAGCCATCTTCAAATATCTCAAAATGACGAAACTCTGGCGCAGGTGCGTTGGCCTGACGACGACGCGATGGATGAGGTTAAACACGTTATTCGTTTAAACCTGTAAAAACCCATCGCATCAACTGGCACATCGTAGTTTAAACGTGTAGTTTTCGAATTGCTACATAAAACGTATTTCGTTACGTCAGACAACAATAGATGTGGAGGGGGGACGAGGAAACTTCCCCATGCGATTCGAAATAGCACTTTATATCACAGAGCGGAATATCAAGACATATCAAGACACTACTTCGAAGTACTATTAATAAGTAGTGCACTTATTATTTACTACTAGTAGTAGATCACAACAAACTCGAGAGATCATCCAAAGCAACGATGACATTAACGTTACGTGATGAGCTGAAATTGGCGTGTAGACAGCCTCAGGCTCAAAATCTTCAAACGTCGAACTATTTTGACGGTCTTTCGTATCTCACCTGGTAATTGCTCAAACCTCTTTAAATGCATATAATATGTATTATTATTATTATGAACATTCAAGAGGACCTGTAGCATATTATACGACCCCATCTTGAACTAGTAACACCCTCTCCGATATCAATGCATTCCTCGCGACAGCACGAGCTTGCCAACGCTTCGTTTGCCCGAATGAACTCCTGCCGAGAACACGAGGAGCGTTTGGCACTCTGGGCGCTCGCAGATCCGCGCGCCGGTCTTATTGGGGTGGCCGCATTCATGGCAGATAGCTTCGCGTTGGTTTGGGGCCGGCAACCCATTCACATACTCGCGCTTGATGTTCAACACCGCGTCCAGCGCTTCCCAGAGCGGCACAGCCAGTGGACACGCGACTTCCCCGGCCAGGATTGACTTGACTCGGACGTGGGAGCCGTAGCATTTGTCGTTGAAGGTCTTCCGGGACACAATCACGGCGCCGGAAAGGCCAATGCCGCCGTACAACCCCATCGAGTGCGAGTACGAGTAGTTGGGCGCAATCCCGCCGCGTCCGACGTTCAGACTGGCGGCGGCGGCGCGACCTAGCGGACCGATCGCGAGATCCAATTCCGAGCCGACTTGGACCTGGCCGTTGCGGGTAAACGTCTTGACGGCGTTCCGCGAGCTCAAAATGACAATGTAATGCACCACTTCGCCGCCCACCATCATGCCGAAGCCGATACCGCCGCTTCCGACAAACGCAGGCGCAGACCAGCCGTTCGCTGTGCGGGCGATCACAAACCCTTTGCCGCCTTTCCCCGACACGAGGAACCCGAGCTTGTACACCGTGAGAAACACCAACCCTTGCGCTTCCAGGAGCAGTTCGCGGGGGATGGAGTGATCTTGGAGGACGGAAGACCCAAAGAACTTGTCGACGATCCCCAGGGCGTGACGCATCTCCGATGCAAACTGCTTTTCGGTCTTGTGGTCCATCGCATATGTCGGTTGCGCCAGCATTTCGTGGTTTGTTTGGAGATACACATCGGACTCCGATCGATGTAGGGACGTTCGACGCATGGCCGAGCTCCAGTTCGGTTGAAGGGTGGAGCGAGGTGCATCAACAGTGCTTTCCGCTTTGGCGAGGCGTGGCGGCGCACTTGCCCCTTCGGCGGCGTCGGCTGAGCTCATCTTTGGTCGAACTTTGAAGGTTGTTCAGAAAGATATCCGGCTAGTGGGCGACTGTTTATCCGGATATTTGCTCGATACAAATTCGAAATCATTTTTACACGCGCAACCGGAAATCCTTAAACAAGGGGGCAAATAGCCCTAAATAAGTTTTGCCGCGGCCTCTTGCCTGAAAATCCCTAAATAGCGAGAATGACGAAGGCGAAGGGTGCAAGATGTGCCGCGCCGCACTGTGCATGTAGCTGCTACCCATGATACCGTGCGTGCGCCTTCTTGTGCATATGGATAACCAACTGACGAGCCTCATTGGGCCTTGTTGGCCTAAAGTCCCTAAGTACTCGTCGATCCATAGGTATCAGGTGGAGCTTCTTTCAACACCAGTGATCCTGGCACAAGCGTGGCGGGACCCAGCGGGATACAAAGTTCAACCACGATGTCGCTTCGGGTCAAAGACTGGCGATAGGAAGGACTGCACTGTATTCGAGAGAGTTAATCAACATCCACAGCGGGCAAACCTGTCGTGTTACTTGCTGTCTAATCAGGGGGCAATTCATGTGGGTCTGCACAGGCAGGGACACACAGTTTAGCTCCAGTGTTCGCGGTGGTGGCGGTCGTTTTCGTCGACAGCCCACGCGACGGTGCCCCACAACAACAAGAAGCTGGGCACGAGGGGGAAGAAGTTCTCTTGCACCTTGCGGAGCGCCTTTTCGGGGGCGGTGCGGATGAGGTAGTCCACGGGGCGTTGCTCAAACGGACTCAATTGGCGCACAACGCGGCCGGACTCGTAGGAGTACTTGGACCACCAGGTCTTCAATGCATCTTGCGCGAGGTGGTGTCCCTTGGCCATGGTTCAAATGCTTGCTTCTTCGTACTGACTGACGGTGCAGCGGCCACTCGTTGAGCACGAATAATTCCTCTTAAGTGCGAATACTTTATTGTGGTTTGGTATTTTTTTACCACATTCACACTACAATAATATTATGTAGGTACGCACTTAACCGATCAATTCCGGATACTGGGACTCGTTTCGAACGGTGTTTCGAATCGTACGAAACGTTTTGTACGTTTCAATTCGGTGTTTTCATTGGCTGGAGCGCAACACCAGCAATAACAAAAGAGCATGTCCACGGACGCATCAACTGGCAACAAGCGCAAACCGCAATGGAGCGCCTCTACTTCTCATGTACGTCCTTGCAGCCGAACGTCATGCAAGAAATCTTCTCACCGCCATGTAGAAGAAGCGCCATGTGGCATCGACGGCCAAGGGCTTTAGCGCTGTCTTGGTCACGTGCGACAAGACCAAGGAGCGGCAATGCGTCAAGGACATCCTCAACATCTTGAACGACGTACGGGCTCGCATCCCTACGCGCATAACGACATGGACATGTCTCTCTATTCTTAGGCTGCGGATGTGCTGTACCCCATGAAGGACGACAAGGTGGTGGACGCGAGCGCTGCCGACAATGCTGCTACCGCCGACGATGACGAGTCCAAGCCAACCAAGACCTCGGCCGACCTGCTTCAAGAAGAGATTGCCGGCCTCAAGAAAGACGCCAAGGACCGCAAAACCGGCCGGTTCTCTGCTTTGGATTCGGTATATCCTCACTCTCCAAGCCGCGATATCAGGTGACATCAGTTTGGTGGATATACTGTAGGGTGTCAAAGGTATCATTCTGGTGCAATTCCTCGACGAAAGCATGGACGTGAAGAAAGTTATCGACCACATCTTCGAACAAGTCCAAAAGACTATGGAGTTCTCTTCTCGGTATGTCCAGCCACCCAAGATCGTCAGGCACACTGTATCTCATGAAACCCCGAAACCCCGAAACCCTGTATCTCATGTTCTTCCCCTGTATCTCATGTACATACGTTCCAATGTATGTAGGTTCATTCAACGCATGATTCCGCTGGAAAAGCTATGTTATCCAAGCGTGGAAGACATTACGGCATGTGCGACACCGTTCATCGAGCGCCATTTCAAAGACACGTCCGGCGTCCAAGTACACAATCATCCTGTTGTTGTGATCAACAATAATCTGCGACGTAGTTTTCCGTGGAAGTGCGCAAACGCAACTCGGGCAACATCGTGTCGATGGACATCATCAACGCATGCGTCGATGTCGTGGGCAATCAGCACAAGGTCAACCTCACGGCCCCCCACGTCGTGATTGTCGTTGAAATCTTCAAAAATGTGTGCGGAGTCAGCGTTGTGACCAACTTTCACCAATATAAAAAGTTCAATGTCCGCATGATATTGGACCCGCCGGCGAAGGAACCCAAGAAGGATCAAGATGACAACAAGGACGAGCACAAGCAGCAAGCGTAACGTTAGCACATAGATACATGTCCGTTGGTTTGCTAACTTGACGTGGGGTTATTAAACCTTAGCTAACGTAAATGACCAAATTATATGATCACTTTTTCCGAGTAACGTTCGTTAGTCACCGTAGAATTTGCATACTGTATCTCCCTCCGCTTACAGGAAGGCATTTCAAATTTTGTGAAGTGATTCTTGACAACCGAACACAGACCTTTCACTTTATAATCAAATTATTACTACTATTAATATTAATAGTACTTCGTATTGTGCTTTGCACCTTTTTTGGCAATTCCAGGGTTAAATTCATTGTTTAAAAATTTCTCAGGCTTAAATAATGTCTAAAGTAACTTGAATAACGGTTGGGTGCGTTGTTTAAAGTTACTTCATCTAATGCGATGATTGGTTGGTTGAAGGTGGTTTTACTGGCACTTTCGTAAAACAAGTTGTTTGCCGTTTTCATTCTGGCAAACAACTTGCTTTACGTCAACATGTCAAGGTGCTTGACGCAATGAAACTGAAGGAGCTATGGCCACATACATGACCTCCCATCCGTGATCACTACAGTACTAACATTATCTACTCCGAGTAATGTATATAACGTTAGGGATATAGTTAGGCTACAGTACATGTAGTCGTCGCTCTGTCCAATGATTCAAAGCTATGCCATACCTTCAACTCTTGATCTGCTCTAACCTTAGCACTGTACGTGGAAGGCAATGGCGCACTACGACTACATGATGTATAGTACTCCCATTTCACATCCTAATACGGTATGCATCGTGATGAACTGGTGGTTGTACGGCGTAAGTTGGCCTGGTGCTGCAACTCGATTAGTTAGCAGTTGAAATAAAGTAAGCGTTGTTTTATTCTGCTGAAATGCAGAACTTGTGTTTAGCGTTGTTTTATATTCAATCGGGCTTATATTATTTTAAACGTCTGGTTGTTTAACGCAGTTAAACAACGGGCAAACTATATGAAAAGCACAATAGTACGTAGTACATTTCAAGATGTGACATCCATTTACAGTCCGCGAGACCATCGAGGGCACCAGTGATGTATCTCTCGATTTGTTTGGCCAATTCATGCGAAATATTTTGCGTTATAGTCGTCGAAATGTCTCCAATAAAACAATGCCACCCGTATCCTCTAAAACAGGATACATTGCACAACAGCATGCAAAACAATTTCGTTACATTGTTAACGATTAAACAAATATACTGTGAAATTGGATCTTTATATAGTGCACAGCTGAAATATTATTTTGATTTGGACGAGTCAGTCAAACCTCCATGCCTTTATCATCGTGATACGGATAAAATACCGAAAATCAACGACATCCGTACAAAAAGCTCAAGTCTTCAACATAATATCGAGTTGTCCTCGTGCTTGGGGGGATCATGTCAACATCGAGGGATTGAAACTCGCGATTGCCGCGCTCGAAATGAGATTGCTTGCAAAACACAGAGTAACTGAAACCGTTCACGGTGACAAAGGAAAGCGACTTTCCTAGTTGCAACAACTGCTGCGGGATGTTGTCAGTGGCGAAGTACACACGCCAGTGGTCAATGTTCTGGCCATACTCCGTAATTTCGCGACGGGCGAAGTTGATGACCTCGGGGCCCAAAGCATGAAGTACACAAACGACGCGTTGAATCGGAAAATTCGAGCGAGTGCCCTTGATGTTTACACAGAATCAGTGGGTTTTGCCAAAGGCGTACGACTTGTCGCCGAGTACGATGGACCATATAGTTGTTTGCGTCAGTCTTCGGTGACCATGAAGGCGATCCTCCACGGTGCCCGGGATCTTGTTGAGTTGGGTGATACCGCCAGCCTTCACACGAAAAGCCTCGTGAACGAGTGGCGCTTGGGTGGCTTCGAGCATGGAAGCCCACAAGGTGCGAATGAGTTAGCAGGAAGATTGATTGCGAAGGTGATGCTCGTGTCGACGACCAAGGTGGACTTCTTCACGATGTGGTGGTACGGCACCCGCACCTGGATGAAGTCAATAGTCATCCACTTATGTGGCCATCATTGCGAAGGAAGGCCATGATCTCATCTATCCCATCAATGGACGGACGGGGGAAGTTCGCGCGAGTTTGGGGACAGCAGACTCGGCGGGCATTTTGGCGAAAGATCGCTAGAGTGTTGGTATTGATATTAATATTACGCTGTAAAGTTACAATCACTCAGCGGGCACTTAATGGCCTCGGCCGCGTACTAGATGGTTTTCATCTAGCGGACGTAACGGGGGGGGCGTCCACTGCGGAGTCATTGTTGGCGGTTGTTGTGGTACGTCCACTAGCACGGGCACTAGTGACAAGTGAGTCCAATGATTGGTTTCCGCGGAGAGCGAATTGGTGGGACGCGTTGACCAGTGTTCCAGGTATGCTGGAAGAGTAGAAAACCCAATTCGGTGGGACACGTGCGCAATCTGTTCTAGGTTTTGCCTGTCAAGGCTGACAAACGAGTGAGGTATCCGTGGGACGTAGATCTTGGGGAAGGAGGCAACACATTCAGACGCAGATTTGCAGTTTTTGGGCGGTTCATTGTCGATGGACATTGAGCAACTTTGATGGTCAACGGAGCCCGATGGAGAATCGCGGTCTTGACAGTGTACGGCTGGGGGATGACCCAATGACGGATTTGGAACGGAAATTGCTTGCGTCGTGTCAGTACCGGCTCTGTTGTGATTGCGCACAATGTGGGCTGGTGTTAAGAGGGCACTTCCGTGCCGGTGTGTTTGTTCTTGAAGGGCCGTTTTGTTGACGCAGCAGTGGGGTGCTGGTTTGACACATCCTTTGGGTAGGTGAAAAGAAACTCGAAGGATGTGGCTGCGTGGCTGCGTAGCTGTATCGCCCAGGTTGGGCTGAACGAATGGAATTGGCGTCATTGTTGGCCCAGGCGGTGGACATGACGGTAGCCTCGATTTGGCTGACTTTCTTGGACGTCGTGGTTCGTCTGGGGACGTGAACAGGAAACGACCTGAGGCGGCAGTGTATGGCGGTGGAAGGGATGATGCTGGGGGGTGATGGTATCGGGATGGTGCATGGAAACGTGCTAACAATTCGGCAGTGTGACACGGGCCGGATGTGGGAGTGGGAGTGGGTGTGGGTGTAACCTTGGGTGTGGGGGCAACTTTGGGCGGCCCCTGATCTTTTGCCCAAGTGGGGCACCGGTGCTCGAAAGGACTGGTTCAGGTGTAGCGTGTTCTCAATGCAATTGGTCCCTGTGGGGTCTTGGTAGCCTTGATGTGATGGAATTGATGGAGACTGGAGTAATAAGGCCTCCAGTGGAGGTAGGATAGGAGAGGGAAACAAAGCAACGCGGTAATGCTATCCATGTGGCTTCGGTGATATTCCCAGCGGCTGAGCTCGTCGTCCATTACAAGGTGGCCCCGTGGGAAGAATTGGAGGTGCGCGATGATGCGGGTACGGCCGGTGCACGGCGTGGCCATGATGGGGTGTTCTATGATGATGGGATTGACGGGGTGAGGAGTGAACGCCGCGCTTGCGCGCGAACGTGGTGCTTCCGTTGTGCTCAAAACTCTCTCGGGGCGCCGTGAGCCACTTGTGGGTTACCGGGTATATTTGGGAATCGCTAGAGTGTTGGTACGTTACTGTTGTTCGATACGGAGCAAAAAGAAAAGTGATATGATTGGTGATGTGAAGTGAAAGTTTATTATAACAATGACATGATGGTCATTGTCGATTTCAAGTGGGAGTTTATTGTAACAATGCGTTGCTGTAGTAAATCAAATAATTCACCCAGACTTTCCTCTTTGTCGTTTGGAGAGGAACTCTATTTGGAGATTTGGCAATTGATGCCGCGTCTTCTTGCGGCGGGAAGGTGTTGGTTGTGGTGCGTGAGGGGTGGACAAGTTGTTGGTGGTGGTTGTGGTGGTGGGTGCCGACAGTGTGGCTATGTGGGGTGGACAACTGGTTGTGGGTAGTTGTAGTGGTTATGCCAGCACTGTGGCGGTGATATTGGTGCGGTTAGGATGGGTGGTTTTGTGTGATGTGGTGCAGTGAGTAGTTGGTGAAGGTGTTGGAGGGTGGACATGGTGCAACGGTGGGTGGAGGTAGCGATGTCGTGGTCTTGGTTAGTGGTGGGTGGAGATAGCGCTGTGGTGGTGGTAGCTAGTGGCGGGTTGAGATGGCGGTGCGGTGGTGTTGCTTAGTGATGTGGCGGAGATAGCGGTGTTGGTTAGCGCAGATGTAGGCAGTGACATGGTGGTGGTTTGGTTGTGGTGGGCTTTGGGGTGTTGTTGGTTAGTCGTGGATGGGGGCAGCGATGTGGAGTAGTGGATGATTGTGGTTGTTTCGATGATGTTGGCATGGGGGTTCCCTGTGTGTTTCGATGGTGAAGGGGAAGTGACATGGTGGGGTGGCTGGGTTCAAGAGAGCGGGGAGTTGATGTCGGGTATGATACCGTCCAACAGTGTAGTGAGAAGCTTGTACACATGGTTGAAAGATCATGGTTGTGGGAAAGGGAAGCGTTCAGCTGTACGTTGATTTTTTGTGCCAAATTCCTCCAAGCTTGGCCATGTACAAGCGGAGGTCACAAGGTCCTCGAGTCAGAAAACTCGATGGTTGGTAACAAGCCAGCGTAGCTAATCGGGATGGGCTCGTAGAACGTAGGCTAATGGCAATTGCTTGTGTTCGTATGTGAGATTGAAGTGCACCTTGGGGTGGGAGCTGAGCCGTAAAGGTGCTATTAGTAGGTCACGTGGGGTCCAGGGTGGTGTGCGCGAGGGTCAGTTCAAGATGTGCCAGAATTTCCAGGTGTCGAGCCAGTAGGGGGGGAGTCGTTCGAGGGACTGGAAACTGGTGTTGTTGTTTGGCGCAACAAAAGGAACGCCATTCGGTGTGGTGGGCACAAACTAGCAAGTGCCTCATCGAAGAAAACAGTAGGTAGCGTCGTCCAGCTGAGATAGTCGGGTTCAAACTGTGTGGCGAGCGTCTGCAGCGTGGTAATGGGCTGTTGTCGAGCGTTCGTTAGATTTGGGGGATCGCCAAACCGAGTTTTTTGTCATGGTCGATAGCGGCATGAGATGAGTGCGTGATATTTGTGGTTGAGGGGGTGTTTTCTTCCAAGGATGAACTGGATGATGAGGCGCTGCCAAATCTGAATCATGCTCAGGGGTACCGGGACTGTGGCTGTGTAGTGCCACAAGAGAGAAAGACACTGGGTGTTGTTAACCATCATCCTCCGTCCTCGCAGTATCCGCGCTCGACGGAACCACACGAGAAAGCTGTTGATAAATTTGTCGTTGAGTTGATCTCCTTGTGCTAGAGGGTCTACGATTTGGCTTGTCTGTATACAGAGAACCGTGGGTGAACTCGCCCACAGTTGACATTGTGTATATCTATGGTATTGTATGGTAGTGCCAGACAGTTACACAAAAATATGTGGTTTTTAAGATGAGAGGTTCTGGAGTTGGACCGATGATTTAAGCCAATCACGCATGAGTGTACCGTGATACCTGCGAATTTTGCCTAGTGGACAATTCCATTGGATTCAGGAGGGTGTTTGTTTATACCCGGAAACCTCCAACGACGAACACATAACCACAGTAGTTTATTACGGCTCTTCGCGTGGAATAGCCTTATCAAACGAACGTGTGATCATCACCGATGGGATAGCTTCCCATACTTTTAGGATTCTTTGCACGATGGCCAACCTACCCTTTTTCAGCAGCTGTTGTCACCTTGGTCTCGTGAAGCCACTCAGTACGGCACTTCGCCTTAAAGGGCCCATGACACCCACATCAATTGGTTGGCATGTACACGTCGAGTTGGGGGGCAGCTCTTCCACCACACTAAACAGCCCCTTCTTGACAAACTGGCAGGCCCCGGCCGTCACGTGCGCTGACAAGTTGTCCACAACAACAACCGAAGGCGCTTCGATCTAATATCGGAGCAACTCACGGAGGTAGATGTCCCACACCCGCTCATCCATCCAGGCGTTTTCTTGCACCGCATAGACGGCTCCTCACAGATACGTTGGCAGTTCGGTTTGTTCGACAAGACCGCCCGGCTGGCCATGGACAATGACGAATGGCGGCAACTTCCGGCCTCCAATTCCTTTGACGAGCTCTCCAGTGTCTCCGCCATCATGAGTGACGTTGGAAATGAGGCGAGGCTTGTTGCATTCCTTCCTCTCGTCAAAACGCTACCACCCGTTCTCACTATTCAACGCATGACCTACCTCCCTGGAACGAAAAAAACGAGTGTCATGGGACACCAACCGTACGACCCTCTCTGACCTTGTGGTCGTTCTTGAGACGGAAACCCAAAGGGCCAATGCCATTGATCCACTTACATTTCTCCAAAAAGCGTCGGTGCACGCTACTCCAACACTTTCCCACTTGACCACCACCCACAAACTCGACCACACATGGGCTCACATTAATCGTGTCCCTCATGCAGCATTCTTGGCCCTCGACGAAATTGCATCCACCACTGGTCTTTCAGACGTCATCCAGTTGTATCGTCACGCTGCAGCTACGTCTTGTGCGCGGGACACCACATTCAGCAATCGCATGCAAAAACTGTTCACTTGCTCGTCCCACTACCCGTGACCAGCTTCTCACTTTATTCACAATCTACCACCAACGTAGACCCATCAACCGTACAAGGCGAAGAGGCTCTGGCACTCTTTGAGCTGGTTCTCGCTACGTACTGTCCCACTCTATACAAATCCGATGCCTGGCTCCTCCTACTTTCGCACCCGCCAATGGATCACTGTGCATAGTTCGACGCGACTTCTTCACCCATCCACACTACATGCGCTCATTTGTAGCCAAATTGGCCATCAATTGCTCACCCATTTGCGTCACTTGACTTGGTTCTACGCGTAATCCATTGGTTCATTCCTAGGTTTTGTACCACCTTGAAACACATCAAGGTCAACCAACGTTGAATGCGATGGATTCACGGCTATGATACTCGCGATAAATTCACTGTCAAGTTTAACAGGACGTTAAACTATAAAACGCGGCCCTCCGAATTGACCATTCGACTTTTTCAAACATCGATAATCTGGACGGCATCTTACTCTTAATCCTGGACGGTTTGAGCTTCTACCTATACAATTGCTGCATTTCGAGTCGAGTGAATTTGATTGCATATGATATCATTCATGGTTCAATTTGTTTAACGTTGCAACCGCGACGAGTTTTGGGAGTTTCGACGAGTTTCGGCCCAATTTTACTGCACTTATTGACTGTGAATAAAATATCTCCATTGACCAATGACGCCTGGGCCAGTAGTCGTAAGGTTGTTCGTGATGCGATCATGACAGTACCTACTCAAAGCGGTGAGGAAAGTGTGAAAGCGTGTTGTCATGGATACTGACTGGTACACTAAGGGTGGCTGCACACCAACGCATACAAGGGAATCTCCAAAGAAACGATCACTTGATAATTTGCAGTCAATTTTTCACCAGAAATTTGAACCTCATGACTTTCAAACGACAACTATTTCTGGACAGTTCATTTGGCTTGAAACTTGTATGCTTTTAATTAAATTCTACTGGCCAAAGTATATAAATGCAACCACCAAAACGCAATTAACTGTAAATTTGACTAAATATATGATTTCTCACTTGCTTTGGTATTGTAAAATTCCAACTACTCGTATTATATTTTCACACCATGCTCGTACATTTGTAAAATTCGTTTTTTGTGTCGTCCATCGCCACGTTCACTACTTTGAGCGCATACGCACCAGCTCGGGGCGCATACGTGCAGCACATGACCCAACTGGCACCAGAGACATCTGTCGTTTTATGGACGAAAGTTATAAAGACGAAAGTCATATCCACCATCACTACGACCAGGACTCACTCTACGATCCAATGGATGATGGCGCCACCAAGGAGAAACAAAAGAGCCGCAGGTTCTACTTCATCGCGGGTATCATGGCCGTGGACCCATCGCATTTAACGTTGGTTGGCCTTGATTTCAAGGTGGTACAAAACCTAGGAACACGGGATGTTCAACTACACCTACTTCGTCAACTGGTTTGAGCGCGCGATGGACGAAGTCGAAAGGATGGACAAGCGTGGTGTATGTTTGTCATGGATAACGCCAAATATCACAAGGGACTGCCGTCTGACACGCCTCGGGGAACTTGACGCAAGGCGGGCCTCTTGAGCCCATGCCAACTCTATGACATTTATGTGGAGGTTCATAACCTGAAGAAAACGATATGGGCACGTCCCAAACCTGTGGTCACCAGAGAAGTCGAGCAAATCGTTGCGTCCATGGCGCGTGAACGTAGACATTGTGTCGTCTACACGCCGCCACATCATTAAGACCCATCTATCTAAATGGTGTGGGCAAAAGTCAAAGGTGACGTTGGGGTTTAGTAAACCGTGGATACGTTCGTTGTTCGCTGATGTGCGGGCACGGCTGTATTCGGCATTCGCCATGCTGCCGTCTGCGGTGATGTGGAATTGTGTACAGCACTGTGACAAGCTTCTCGAGACATGTATGAGCTACTCCTTGCGAATGATGAGGATGAAGTAGTTGGTTCCTCGGATGATTCATCTGAAGGTACCAGTGATAGTGACTCGGACGCCTAACACTAAACCTTATGATCAGTAGTTGGGTTAATGAGCGGCAGATCAAATAGATTGGAAATAACCTATGCGACTTCCAATAAAACTCACCACTTGATTAGAGATCGACTAACCGACGAACTACTCGATCTCCGAAGTGATGTAGTATTACAATTTCACCCACTCATACTATTCGGAATTTTCCTACTACCTGATTCTTCGTACATTGTACTGACAAGTTACCAAGTCCACAACTTTCTTGAGCAGTCTCGCATTGTTTTCGGAGGTGAATCGATCCTGTTTGTACCCAAAACGTGTGCAAGTTGATTTCATGGTGGCATTGACGAAGCTGGTGTGCAAGCACGATGAATTTAACATGAGTTCGTTATGTAATCGCTGAGAAATCCCACCACAAGTGAACCTACTACCAAAGTATTGACCGAAATATTACGTTATATGATAAAATCTTTGAGATCCCATAGATGAGTACATTTCATGTAAAGGCTAGGAGAATCCGAGAGAAAGTGCAAGTTTCGCCAAAAATGTAATTAAGGAGATTCGATTAAAACCTGCATTAAAAAACAAAGTAGGTTATACATATATCCACACCATCGAGGTTGTCGCCCAAATCTGCACCTTTGGGGGGAATCAGCTTGTTGCAATTCACTTCCTCTCACTTTCCATTTCGCCAGCTATGCCTGTCAACACCAACGCCGTACTCAACCGTCTCCAAGACCAAGCAGTGCGAGATCAATCCTATCTTAAGTCATGCCTGCATGACTTTGGTGACTACTCACACTTGCGTGACGACAGCGAGGAGACCCCCGAAAACCCAATTATGGAGAAGTTCTTGATCGACTTGGGCTCTGAGGGTATTACATCTATGACCAACTTTACTATCACTGAGTTCGAGTCGCTGTGGGCGATGGTGGACGATGCTATGAACGCTGAGTGGATGGAAGGTCGTGGCCGGCGTTCGACGACTAGCCCCAAGGACGCGCTCCTTATGGCCCTCACCGTGTTAAAACACTTTCAACATGGGAAAAGCACGCAGCTCACCTTGGGTACAAGGCACCAACCTTCGAGAAGCTCGTCATGCGCGTCCTACACGCTGTTTAACCTGTGCTCTACGACGAGTTGATTCGAGATCCATCCGTGTCCGACCTGTCGACGATATTTCACACCCGAATTGCCGTTCAGGCGACCAACCTGTTGAATACGGCGGGTGAGCAGGATGTGGCAGACTAAGGTGAGTTGAGTGCGCAGTACCGCGGGTCGTGGGGATGTTTGGTCGACATGGGCTACATCGGAATTGCCCACTCGCTGCGGGGTATTCATCCGAAGCGACGTCTGGTGCACGGCGTATTGGAGCCTGGATCGAAACTACGACATCTCCTCCGATCGCGTGGATGTGGAGAATTTTTTCGGTCGCGTGTGCACTCTCTGGAAGATTTCGTTGGCTACGTACACTTGGGGTGAGAAAAAGTACAACACGATCCAGCGCACGGCGTTCGCATTGACGAACTTCCACCTCTCGTTGATGCCATTGCGCGCGGAGGACGAAGGGTTTTACAGGCTGTAATTGCTCATTACGAGCAGATGGAGAATGATAAGAAGAGCAAGCGCAGTGAAGCTCAACACCGCTATCGTTTGAATCGCCAAGAGAGATTGTCCATTGACCGAAACCGCGCTACTCGCTTGCAGTCCATCGATGAATCGTTCGAACAGCAACTATTAGATGATGGATGCATACCATTAATAAAACGTGTTTGCTGATCGATTTGGTTTGTTCCATAGGATTTAAGTGATCGGCTACTGCATTTTTGATCAGTAACCTAGTCTCATTCGAAGTTGCTGAGTTCTTGATTGAAATAGATATATCCAATTAGTACCAAAGAGCATGCATATTTCGACATTTACTGACGAATTAAAATACTATTTCGGAAGCACTACAGTCCAATTGTATTGATATCAGTAATATTGAAAGTTAGTCAACTGCTGGTTTAAAGATTTACTGTAAACTGGAGCTGGACAAAAATGATACCTTCGTAAATCAATATACATATATGCCCCACGAATAAAAATTCACCATAAAACCTATTTGCTGGAATTCTCTCAAATGCAATATTTATGTGTAAACCTAATCGCTGGTGATGAGGCCGATCACTGTAAAACTCAGACTTACAAAAATACGTCTTTACAGTTAAACCTATTCGTTAAACGTCCGATAGTTAGTACGAATACAAGTCACCATAACGTTGGTACGGATTGACATTTGAATTGGCGAAATCTCCCTATAATACTACACAATTTTTTCGTTTAAGTTCAGGATATTTCCGGTATATTTTGTCCGACGCACAACTGATTCACGTCATGTGCCTTATGTTCGCCTAACATTCGATATATTTCGTCCAGACCCTACTTCGTTGCATTATATTTCGACTAATGTCCGGTATATGTCACCCCACAGCCGGTATATTTCACAAGTTGTTCAATATATTTCAAATGATATTCCATCTATTTCGATTTTCGAAGCAAATCAAGTAAATCGCAGGTGGTGGATACTTGTCTAAATCATAGATATTTGAAGTATTGTACTTTCGAGCAAAATTTGGTATTTTCGGTAGATTCGACGAACGACGTCAAATCAAACTGAAATCGTCGAGCGTCATTTTACTTGAACTAAATATACTCACTGTGACTCCTGTCCGATACAACGTTGAGCTCTTTGTGAAATGGCGAAACTTGGCAATGCACCGGATACGCCTGCAATTTGATTGGTCGAAAGGTCTTTTTTTGAAAATTTCATTGGCTACTTCGTTCCGTCGATTACTGCGTCGATTTATCAAAATAGATGGAACATCATTTGAAATATATTGAACAACGTATGAAATATACTGGCTGTGGGGTGATAGATACCGGACATTAGTCGAAATATACTGCAACCATGTAAGGTCAGGACCAAATATATTGAATGCTTGGCGAACGTAACGCGCATGGCGTGAATCAGTTGTGCGTTGGACGAAATATACCGGAAATAGTCTGACCTTAAACGAAAAATGGTGTAGTATTTGCCTATAAAAAGTTTCGGCTAAAGTCAATTTCATTCTCATTTCTTTATCAATTCTACAGCAGGCTGCGGGAAATCGCGAAAGCCGGTTTCGCTTGGGCAAAACTCGCAAAACGTAACCGTATTCAATTTGACAGGTTGACTTTCACACGAAAATAAAATACTTTGGCAGTAAACAAAATGTAAACAGGTGTCTGTATTTTGTAAACTGACACGATTGATACACTTTCGTGGCCAATTTTAACTCTATTTTAACGTATTTTCATTCAACAATCTGGGAGCGTAATCTCAACGTTGCGCACTGTCATACGAGCCAAAGCGATATGAAATTCAAGGAGGTTTAGGTTGGGGTATTTAAGGTTGAAGTTTGACGAAACTGACGAAACTCCAATGTTCGCGATATGATTTCACGTGAACCAACACGAAATTCATGAATCTGATTACATATTCGTTGAAACCTTGGTGAGAGGTCTATGGACAAAAAAAATGGAAGGATTTGACCACAGTTTAGGTAGGGATTGTTTAGGTCAAAGTATTGAATTTTCAGTTTACAAAATGTAAACTGGGCTGTTTACGTTTCGAAAACATTTTACATTCATTTGAATTAAGACTTGTCCGACTTTTCATTCAAAATAATATTACGTTTTGCTACTTTTGCCCAAGCCAAACCAGTTTTTGCGATTTCCCGCAGCCCCCAGTAGATCCGAGGCACAAAATTTCTTCCTGTTATGTGGATTCCATGCATTTTTAAACTTTAATATTAAGCTGAGGCAACGAAATAGAGTCCCGCGTGAGTTGTGAAAAGTAGGTGGTTTATAGGTGGAGTGCACCATACGTAGTAATATTAATATTAATAGTACTGCGTACTACTCTGCGTAGAGTTGTGGATTTGCTACCTTGCTTGAAGTATACTTATATAGCCTCTAACACTCACCGGACTTGATAAATGTATGGTTTCAAGTGCTCGACACCAGCCAAAGTAACACTCAGCGCTATATCCAGGGATGAGCGATATCATTAACGCCAAGAGAAATCCGAGACTGTTTGCTGTGTGACTATCTGGTTCATAATGCTCTCTTGCCGTCAGATCTTGTGAAATACATCCAGGGACGAGCGACATCGTTAACGCCAAGACAAATCTGAGACTATTTGCTGCGTGACTATCTGGTTCAAAAATGCTCTCTTACCATATGGTTTATAAGGCTCTCTTACCATCGGCCCAACAAATTGCATACCAATGGCGGAAGGTAATGTGTACACTGATTTATATGATTTTAGTATTCCTGTTTTAGACGATATTGACAATTTGCCACAAGGACGTGGAGGCGTACAAGTCTGCCGTGTTGTACTTGGATGATTTGGAGCAGAGCAACAGTGGAGCCATTCACCCGCTGTCCACATGAATTGTTGAGATCGTGTACTTCATTTTACCTGAAGTTGTGGACATTGTTGCTGCCATGGTGGATGGATATCAACGAATGCGTTGTGGACTCAACGCACAAAACAACACGCTTCGACTTCGAAATGTTCTTAATTATCGTATCGTTTCGTGGGAAAGATTAATCGATTTCGTATCTCTTTCTCAAAGAAAACGGTCTGGCTAAGTATAATGGTTAAACCTAGTGTGCACCACTATGCCGAGGCCGCCCTAGGTTCACTAGTTCACAAGCGCAAACAATTGGAGTTCGATTAACCCAAATTTGCATAGACACGTCGGAAGTTCGAGTGATCCTTGTAATGACGCTTGATTATCTCAAGAACGGGCTCAAGATTCGACTTGCTTGCGAACTGGGGTCTTCGCTGCTTGCGTGGTAGTTACGACGTTTGGAAACGACCAAGATTACTGATGCAGTCCGATCAAGGTATCCAAAGATTTGTACCTACATGTATGAACTACATGGCACATCGCATCGTGCTACCCGTCGAAACCTCGGCAGCTAATGTTGGTGCTGAAAGCGCGCATTCGTATGGCGCGGTCGATGTGCCAAAGGCACAACGAGATCTACGAGTCAGGCATGCAACTTCTATGAACCAGGCTGTGATGTACGCACCACGTTTGTGCGAACTTGGCAGCAATTGCAAGTACCACATTGTTAACAACGCAGTCAAAATAGACCTGCGAGTTCGCAATTTGCAACTGACAACAAGAGTCTCTTTTGGATGATTCTTACTATTTCTAGCCGCTGGCACAGGTTGCACAAACGGCTAATTCCGACCTTGCCGTCGAATTCTTGTCGAAGGTGCGGGTTGTACTATACCGGGACGTGCAACGGAGGTCAAAAACATTACTTTCGTAATGAAACGCTTGGACTTGGCAGCACGATGGGCAAGCTCTTAATCTTAATAGACGTAGAATTTTACCTTAACCTGGGTAAAAGAGAACCTCTTCTCATCGATATGCACTTGATCGTACATATTATCAAATAAGTGTCTCCCTTTTGACCCAGGTAAGAGAAACTTCATGGCAAACCATTGTCGTTCCGTCGTGTTGGTGTCGGTCAAGAACGGCCTGACGTGGCTTGAACGCGCCATGGGCTTCTTGGTCGCTGCCATGTGCCGCATGATAGTTGTGTTTGGTATGCCACTGTGGCACGCCAGGGAGCGCAACGTCTGGCGATCTTCTTGGGGTACGGCCTTGATAATCGCTTCAATTTCTTCGGCTGATACCTGGAATTACCCAACATAGTAAACTCATGAAAATTTATACATCTCGCCATTCATAGTTTATCGTGTATATATCCTTTTTAGAGGCAATCCATGAATTTTGGTAGCGATGTCGGCCACTGGGCACCATGGAGGAGTGAAAGGCGTGTACGTGCCCAGAGTCGAGATATGTTCATCCTGTGAGATTTCAAGTGTCGAGCCACATCTCACACTGCACCGTATGGAAGCTGGTCTTTATGAAAGCGTGCGAGAAGCATCTCATAAGCACCGCGGCGCTCGTCGTCGGTGAGATTTCGTGGGTGGCTCACACCGCCCAGGTTCGTTGCTGAGCGGGCGGTTGTGGGTGAGGGCATAGACAAACACTGTAGTAACACATGGTGCGGAGGGAGGGTATCAAATTGAGTTATGACTATCTGGCGCAAGAAATTGATGCCTCGATTCCTCCTTGGCATTTTTCCCGCCCCATAACTTTTGACCCAGAAGGAATTTTTGCTCACAAAATATCCCTCCAATCAATGCGGAGATCCTGCGCTTTTCAAAACTCCAATCAGATGTGATATCCGAGGAGTTTTAGAAAAATTCCACCAATGAGACGAAACTGTAACGATCTTTGCGGCTAGAGAGAGTAGTACAACGTTTGGCGGATTTTATGGTGTTCGCATAAATCAAGCGGTTAAGGATTTGGGTCGTGACCAAAGTTTCTCGGCGTCAGCCAATCAGTAGCCGCCTCAGAAAACTCGTCGGTTATTTGGGCACCCCTCCTTTCACTGAATATTTCCATTTTACGTGACCCAAAGGCGCCCTCTCACGCGAAACCAACATAGTTGAAGTCGTTTAAAAACGATCGTACCCCAGTAACGCATTTGACCTACAGCCAGGCTGCTAACTAACTCAACTTTACATTTTGTCCAAAACTCCTCACTTGGATTTTGGTCTTCGCCTGCCTTCGCCTCGCCTACCCTACTCAAAAAATTACTTAACCCCCTGGCATTTCTGGCATCAGACATCAACCTCGACAAGGTGTGTCAGTATAAATTTGGATATGTATATTTAAATACCAGTTTTGTGTAGATCTAGAGTAGGTTCTCATGTGTGTACAGTCCCATAGCAAGCAACTGGCGGAATCGGACGATTTTGTCGTTCAAGTTGGCCCGTACGATTTAAAAGCCTGATACACCATGGGCCTCTCGATTCCACAAAGCGCCACAAAAGTACCCCCGTAACTTCGTTTCGGCTGATGTTCTAATGCCAATACGTCGTTACAGAAGGCATAAGTATATATCAAGTGGGATGAAGTGCTTACTTTGAATATCAGTTTTTCACCATTAGAATCTCATACATCAGGCCCTAATTAGTACTTATAAGTGCTAATTAAATCATGGTGTCTTCAGATGCGTAAAGCTGGCAATCTTTCCTTGGGGGACTCACGGCATTGGTTGAGGTACATGGCACTTGGATCCTTGGTTTTTTGTAGCTCAGTTTGTTTGTGTGGCAAGCTGACGCGTGATCTAAGTGCATCAAGTCGAGCGTTCAAGTCGAGCGTTCTATATCCTTGCGATATCGACAATGAGAGCAGCAGGTACACCATGAGGACACTTAGGACTGTCTTGCTCACGTTGTACTGTACATCATATATCGCCAAAGCCGTATTCCGTAAACTTGCGACTAATTGGTAGCAGCAGTGTTCAACTGTTTCTGGTATACAAAACTCAAGTTCGTCTTGGTACATACCAGTATCGAAAGTCACTAAACGACACATATCAGCGTAACCCGGGAATAGATAACATGTGAACACACGGGTTTCGGGGTACAGACTAGCGTTCAATATACTGTAACTGTTACGATTAGGGATAACACTGATTAATGTTACACTTAGTTACAGAGTATCTCACCCATTCGACGAACAATGGAGACTGTCGGAAATGATTACTATGTAGTAATTCATAGATTAGAGACTCGTTCACAGTGGAGTCCGGAATTACCCAAACCCCTCCGCTTGAATCACATGCATGTTGTTTTGCATTTATAGTTAACCGACGTTTTACTTCACATTGAATGAGAGTGGGGTCTTCGTAGTAAGTCAAGTGACTTGCGTCGAAATGGCATCTCATATTCATGTGGTAAAGAGGACGAGGTGGTGATAATATGAAGGGATAGACTTGCAGCTATGAAATTGGGCCAAATTCGCAATAAGAAAAACGAAGAAAAAATATTTGACATGAGTGGGATTTGAACCCACGCCCGAAGACTGGTGCCTAAAACCAGCGCCTTAGACCACTCGGCCATCATGTCACTTTTTTCAACTTAAAGCCGAAAGATATCACATATCTCCACACAAAGCCTTCGGAGGAGCCCTTCAAACATCCGTTTGAAAATTGGGCAATACCCAAAGCCGAAATCCGCTCGACACTCATCCACTTGCGCAATCTGATGCGACCAGTATACCCCCTCGTCGCTGATACGTACTTCCGCCTACTGTTCAAACTCCTTCCCTTCCAAGCGCGTTTTTGGTTCCTGGAGCACCTGAACCCGAACATCCAGCTATGTCCGTATACCTACCTGCTTTCACGTCGAACCGGCATGCATGCTATGTTCTCGTGCACGACAATTTCCAACTCGAACCCCCTTGGCAGCAGTTTGGGATGACGTTTACATGGCACACAATAACGAATCCCCGGCGCCTCACCCCTGCACCACCATGGCTGCCAGACAGAGAACTTCTCGTCCAAATCTGGATTGTCACAAACACTATATACTAGCTGTGGAAACATCGATGCAACACGCGCTTCCGCAACGCTGCGCCTCCCAAGAGGGTATCGCTTGTTGAGACAATTCTACGACACTGGACCACACAAGTCCGAGCATGGCTACGAAATCCCACCACATCCGACGGTCACGCGAACATGGCACTCATTTTTGAAATGATACTCACCCATCCAAAACTTGCATGGTTTGTACGGAAATACCCGTGCTACAAGGCACAACCACCCCCGCCAGAGTTCGACGACATTCTCAGCAAACATCACAACTAGCCCCCGACACGAACAACACTGCAGCCACAGTCACCACAACATCCACTACGTCACATCACTATGTCTACCCAAACATATCCAACATCACCCTGCCACCGCATAACAACAACTACCACCACACCATTGCCTCCACGCAATTTTCAACAACACCGACACATCGCCGCCTACACACGACACCAACCAACATCAC